TTAAGCTCAGGGTGATCATTTAGATCTACCATATATCATTCTGCTGTTTCATTCTCACTTCCCTTTAAGTGTGTCTGAGGTGTTGCATGTGTCACCCACCCCAGCTTCTTACGGAAGATACTGCTATGCATGTTTGTTTCCCATCCCCCTCCACATGGCTGCCATACATTTGTGTGCTCTCCCTGCTCCACTAAAAATGCTAAATCTTCCCACTCAGCTGTGCTACACTTAGTTAGTGGAACATGTGGCACCTTCCCTTTGAAGAGTTGTCGAGCTGCTTCAGAAATTATCACACTGCATCCTGCCATTTGTTTACCATCAGTATATACAGCTTTTACAGTAATTCTTTGAGGACCCAGTTTCATTACTTTGTCAGTGTAGGCATCATCAAGTCCTGGTGTTGTTTTAAACCTAAGTGTGATGTGCATCTCATCTGGCTCCTGTCTATCATAGCCCTCAGCTAATCTCTCCTCAGCTGTGGTCAACATTTTACAGGTTATCTGATCTGGCCTGGAAGTTGACAGGTCAAGCGTCCAATAGTAATGTACATCGCTACTGCCCTGGTGAACCATTGCTTCTGCAGTTTCTCCTTTTCCTGCAGTTATCATTCCAACAGCCGTGGGAATGATTGAGATTCCAAGTTTTACCATCATGTCTCTACCCAAAAGGTTCACAGGGCATGTTGGACACATTACTACTGAGCCCTGAGCTGTCTCTCCAGTGGATGGATCTCTGATCCATACTGGCTTAGAGATCCTATGTTGATCTAACTGTCCGTTTGCAGATTTTACATAAATGACACCATTTGAGGGGTTTATTCCTGACACATGGTCCCTCAGCACGGTTTTATCTGCTCCTGAGTCACATAAAAACTGTATAGTTTTTCCCTGCACTGTTAACGTGCGAAAGGGTTTCACTTCTTTCCCTGATAAATTCAACAAAACCTCAGTCAAATCTATGGTTTGGGGCACTGATTGTTGTTTGTGGCAGTCTGATGGGGTGTTTAAACATGCATGTGTATTGACAGTGGCAGCAGATACTAGTCATTTATTATATGAGGGGTTACGTGGACCTGGTCGTCTATACTCCTCACGTAGGTCCTCAAGGCAATCTCTAATGAAATGACCTATTTTCCCACAGTTGTAACACCTTTCATCCCTTCTCCTCCGTTCTCCTCTAGCCCTCCAATTACCTCTATCTCCTTTACCTTTACTTTGTCTAGTCTGCCGCTGTAAAAGTACCTGAGGCTCTTCATCAACATAAAATGTGGCAGCATTCACTGTATTCTGCAATTTTTTCTTTTTACTTTTAATCACATCCTGTGCATGCTTTGCCCAATTCATACATTGAGTAACTCCATCTGTGGTGTGATTTACATTTTGCTTCCTAATAAAATCTGCAATGGATGGATGGAACCCACTCATTAAGGCATGTTTCAGCTGCTGTTGATAGGGGCCTGCTACGTCTGCATCTTCTTCAAGTCCACTATGCCTCTTAAACACTTCCTCCAATCTACCTCTATACTCATGAACGTCTTCTCCTTCCTTCTGTATGCATTGTGAAATTTTTGTGTAGTCTGCAGTTGTTCTAAAAGTATTTCTGAGACGATCGTACACTCCATTAATTTGGACAGCGAGACCTGCATCTCCATAGGGCAGGGTGTTATCACCTGGCCCTCTGCCCGTGTACCGTCCTCTGACACGGGTCCAGTTATAAGTGAGACATCTCCTAAAGGTAGTCTCAGTTTCCTGTCCATTTAAACGGTACGAGGAACAAAGCTGTCTATGTCGAGCTATAAACTCATCAACATTAGTCAATGGGTCTCCAAGGCTCTTACAAGCATCAGCACATTCAGACTCGGTCCATGGCCGGTAAACATGAATAGTGCGGCTATTATCTGCATCCACTCCAAAATGCGGGTTAGCAACCTCTACCATAGGGTAAGTGCTCACCTCATGGATTGGATCAGGAGAAAAACTTTCTTCATCTTCACACTCTGGGGCTGAAACACCATGTGTTTTTTTGTGTTGTGTCAGGGATGGATATGTGGTTGTAACATTCGTGTTCACTTTCTTTCCTTTCTGTCTCCTCTCTTGCCTAGTCTGTCTTGGACTCAATGCTGCTCCTAATGCCTCTCCATATTCATCCTTTAATCTGTCCTCCACTTCTGCCTCTGCTCTCTCACGTTCATCTCTGGCTCTTCTTTCTGCTAACATTCTTGCTCTTTCTAATGCTTTTCTACGGTGTTGTTCTAAAGTAGTTGCAGTGGATTGAGCTGTAGTTTCATCCTCAGGTTTCACAACTACTGCTTGCAATATTGCTCTTTTAACATTCTGTGCTTCTCTCCTCCTCTGAGCCTGCTCCAGCCACAACTTAGCAACTGCTAACTGCAATTCCTTCCTCCGCTTCGCTTTCCCTGTTTTACCTGCTACACTTACAGCTATTCTTTCTACCAGCATTTTACACTGAACTTCCACTAATGTCCCTTCAAATCCATATTTCTTACGCCAACAACCTACATACTGCGTGCTGCCTGGTGAAAATTTCTCCATGAATTTTACATCCCCTTCTAAGGCAGACTTACACATTTTATTCCCCATTATAACAATTTTCTCAAGTTTGCGGTAGGCAACGCCTTACTCCAAAACCCAGGCTATGTGTACACAACAGGTCACAGAATTACGTTAACACCGCTTTAGGTTTCCTTCTGTGTTGCTGCGTTCACTTTACTGGCACTCATACACACGTACGTTCATTCACACTGTTTATAGGCCTGTAACTTCTGTTGAAAGCTCTCAAACGCCCCAAATGGCGGAGAATTCAACCTTCGGACACTCTCCAACGCCCCAAATGGCGGAGATTCCGGACTCCGAACCTAGGTTCTCTCCACGCCCCCAAACGGCGGAGAACTCTCTACGCCCCAAACGGCGGAGAAGCCTGCGTCTCTCTCACGCGGCTAGCGCGCTCCCGGACTCACGTTTAACGCACAGCCCGTAGCCGCTCTCTATTGTTTTGGGTCCACGTGCGCTCTCGTGACCAGCGCTCCCCCGGACTCAAGCGTTTCACGCAGAATCACGGTGACGCGTATCTAGGATCCCACATTCATTCACACGGTTATAGAGACGCTCTCTGATTGCTTACCGTTGTGTTGCGTTTCGTTCACAGGAGAGTCCTAGAATCCCGTCAGTCGCCGTCCACGAGGGGAGTTCAGACGCTATTCCACCGGCCTGGTCGCGAATTTAACACTCCAGGGCTTTGTCAGGCGTCCTAACGGCCTGGTTGTCGACAGTCTGCGGCGTGTCCTCTCTCTCCTCAGTGTGCGGCGAAATTCTCGGAATCCGGCTTGAAGGACCAAAAAATGTTGGGTCTAAACTCAGACCCCGCTGTATCCAAGACTTATTCCCATGAAAGAAAAACAAGGCAACAGTGTTCGATCGATTTCTTGCGCAAGGGAGGCCCCCTCATCTGTGTCCAGCACGACAATGAACCCCGATGATGGCCTCCTCTCGCTGCCTTTTATTGACAAACTTCAAACAATAGTTTACAAAACACCTCCCCCTGCAACCCCCTTTGGTTACAAAGACAAGGCACTGTATGTAAGTGTGTGTGTGTGGGTGTTATGTGAGAATGTGTGTGTGTGTGTGTGTGTTGATCAAAGGGTCATAAAACCTAAAAGCAGGAACAACATCCTTGGTCATAAAGAGGGTAGTCTTCCCCCACACCCAATGTATGGTTTACCAAAGATAACACAGTGAAACCATACAAAGGGTAGGAAGCTCTACCAAACATCAAACAGATCCTCAAAAGGACGTTCCTGTGATAAAACACTTCAACCTTGCACCCAGAACCTCGAGAATCTGGGAATGTGAGGAAAGAAAGAATTCCTTTCACAGAGTTAAAAACAATGGACAAATGGTACATATAAAAATGACAAATGTTTAACTATTTAATCTAACACTTGCATCAGTCCAGATGTCCCACAGAATGAACCTCACCTCTTCCTCTGTCTGTGTTTTAACTGCTTCACAGATTTGTGCAAATTAGAATTTTTTTGCAAGAACCTATATTATTTGTTTTAACAGTCACTGGCAATCTGGTTGATGAGGACAAGTTGGAGATGTGCTTTCTATAAGGACACATCTCAACATGAGGGGACAAGTCTAAAGATTTTATACGCACAAATACATTCATATGTTTTAATCTTCATGTGAGGTTTTATCCAAGCTTTACAAATCAAGTGGAGATGCCAGCCTCTTTAAGTATAAATTATTATTCCCTCTTTTTTAATGTCCTTTCACTGGAGCTCAACAGGGACATACTGTCCAACGAATAAAACACAAACAGCAAACTTGGAAAATACCCATGTGATTTCGCTGACTCAGCCCAATGAAATCCCGTATTTGCTTCAGAGGAAGATTTGAATACATTTTGTTCACTGCATCAGGATTGTGGATTTTCAGAGTCCAAATCTATCATTTAATATAGTGCACCTCATTTAAGCCGCTTTCTAAGCCTGGATTATTGTTGCTACGCAAAAAACTGATGGAAAAACTGTTGGTAGTATTGAGTTAACACATGTGAGTCACACAATAAAGTGCAACCATCCTCTCTTAATGGCAAAAGAAGCTTGAGAGGGTTTCTTCTTTTCACGAACTAAATGATAATAGAGACCAAAGAAAACATTGTTATTGTTGTTAAGTGCCATATGGGCTACATAGTTATGAACACACACATATAAAAGCATATACAGAGTGATGTTGGGTATCCTGTAAACAGAAAGCAATCACTGTCTTATACCCTTCGATGGAGTGATTGCAACTATGACTGATTGTGGTTCAAAGCTGATTGTAGCTTTAAATTTGACCTTTAAGTATGTGTGTGCCTCTCAGTGCTTACAAAGGATTATTCTCCCCAAACCTAGTTTGTATAAAACAGGTAGACCCCTGTAAACATTATAGATTTAAAGACAATATAACAAGCTTCTTAACCCTTGTTTTTAGGTGCAGATCAGGAAGAAAAGTGTCGAAGTTTCATTGAGCTGACACCAGGAGAGACACAAGGTTGGTCCAATACCAAATTTTCATCTCACAACAGAGAAAATCTTCAATATTTAACCTGAAGAAATTGTCTCTATATCCTTAAATGCTTCCAGGTGTGCTCTGGCTGTCTGTCATCAGTGAGTTCATGTACATCGGTCTCCTGGCTATGGGCTTCTTACTGATGTGTGTGGAAGCACTGTGCCTCTGCGCCAAGAGGGAAATGAACGCCCTCAAGATCAATGCCTTTGCAGCCATGTGCACTGTCCTCTCAGGTGAGAACAAAGAACATTTTCTGAGTCCTAAAAGGCTGTGGGCACTTGCTTGCTTGCTTGATCTAAAAACCTCAAGAGGAAAAGGGTTGGATACAAATGGTGGAAATTACTTTCCTTCAGATGGTGTGTGGGTGAGGACCTCAGTAATTCAGGAGGGGCTCAGAGTAGAGCTAGGATGCATGGATGGATGGATGGATGGATGGATGGATGGATGGATGGATGGATGGATGGATGGATGGATGGATGGATGGATGGCAGGACTGCCATGTTTCAGTCATTCCTACAATAATAACCTCCAAAATTTGAATTATTTTATCTTACTTTTTTATTTTTTAACCATATTTTTTCAGGTTGCAGCAAAGGTAACCGTATCTCCATGTTTCTGTCCTCTCCCAGGCATGATGGGGATGGTAGCTCACATGATGTACACAACAGTGTTTCAGATGACTGTGAGCATCGGACCTAAAGACTGGAGGCCACAGAGCTGGGACTACGGCTGGTCTTTTGCGTAAGTTTCAATTAAACCAAAGTAATTATTCTGTATTAAAGTAAAATATTCCCCAACAATCGTCAGATTAGATGAAATATCCCACAGAGTTTGATTATCACCCAATATTGTCAAAATATTTTATATCTGCAAGGTGTGTAAACATTATCTGGTTAGCAAGCTATACAGAAAGCTGTTTTGAGAGTGGCTGTGACAAACACTAACATGGTCTCAATTACCTACAGCTGTGGTCAGGAGTTCACATGAATGATTGACATGGTGGCTTTTAATTATTTTTCTATATTTCTTTTTCTAGGGTCAAATGATTGCACAGAACACATCTTTAATGACTTTAAAAACAATAATTGAGAGCACGAGTTTTTAATTTATCTGGAATTTTCTGTGATCCACACGGGGTCAGAAGCAAAAAAGATACATATACCGCCACAAATATCTGGTTAAATGTCCCTTACCAGACACTTTTGGTAGTCATCAACAAGCGTCTGGCATAATTCTAGCTATTCTAGATATTTGACCAATCTCATTGGCTGATTTGTTGGATTTTCAACATGGTTGAGGTCAGGGCTTTAGGTAGGCCATTCTAGGTGCATAATGCTAGTTGCTTTGTCCATTTCAAAACCAGTGTTGATGTGTGTTTTTGATCATTGTTCTGTTGAAATGCCCATTTGCATCTAAGGTGCAAACATCTAGCTGTTGGTTTGAGGTAAAGTTGAATAATTTGAACATATTCCTCCATTTTTATTATCCACTTTGTGAAATGTATCAGTACCACTGACAGGAAACGGCATGATGCTTCTACCACTATGCTTAACAGTTTGTATAGTTGTCTGAGGTTTGAAAGCCTCACCTTTACTCCTCCAAACAATTCCTACTATCATTGTAGCTCAGTCTTTGTCTCATCTGACCATGAATCTTTCTCCAGGAGGAATTTGGCTTTTCCATGTGGGCAGTTGAAAATTTCAGTTTAGCTTGAAGGTGTCGGTTTGGGACCTGGGACATCTTTCTTGGTCTGTACTCTCAGTCCATGGCAATGTAAAACTGGTTTCCAGTTCATGGGAGGCTTGAGCCTTTGTGGTTCCCAGGCTGTTCTTGAACTTAATAGGCCTTATTTGAAGTGAGTGTACGTATATGTTTGAGCCTTCATTGATACTCCTGACCATGTGTGGATTAGAGAAAATTTCAAATACATTCAAACTTGTGTATCCAGTTCTTGTTTTTTTAAATCATTAAAATGTATGGTTTATTGTCATTCCACTTTGGGAAAAGAACCCTTCAAAGAAATAATTAAAAGCCCCAAATTTCCATGACATTCTTGCTCGTGGTGAGTGGATGTAAACTAACTGACCACAGTTATAGATGCTGTCTCTCCAAGCTTCAGTAGTCATATGGCACTTTAAAGAGCTTCACTGTACCACTTTCTGATCTGATCGAATCTTTACACAACCTTTTGTATTGGCTGGTCATCATACTAGAAAGATTCAATCTTTCCCCCTCTCCAGCATGGCATGGCTTTCATTCAGCTGCTGCATGGCAGCTGCTGTGGCCACATTGAACTCCTACACCAAGACCATCATTGAGATGAAGCACCGGGCTCGGGTAAGGCTGGAGGAGGCCCGAAATACCACCAGTGCCCCCTCCTATGAGGAGGTTGTTCGAGCTGGGCCGGGAGGGATTTACTCCGTCAGTCAGCTGATGCAGCTTGGACAACAGGGGGCTCTAATGGACCCAATGTGGCCCAGAGGAGTGGGACCAGCTGTTGGACCTCTGGCATGTGGCGCTGGGGGAGCACTGCTCGTTGGTGGAGGAGGAATTGGAGTTGGAGGCATGGGTAATCTTGGCGTTGGGATGGGACTGGGAGGAATGCCATCTATGGCAGGTGCTGGGGGAAATGGTGTTGGAATGGGAGGGATGGGAGGTGGAGCAGGGGGAGGAATGGGAGCAGGTGGAGTAGGAGGGGGGAAGCTGGCAGACCCTCATGGTGTGGTTGTGGTGGAAGGCTGCGGCACCGAAGGATGTGAAGATTGTGAACGTGAGATGGACGAGATAAATTATGCCCTCCAGGAGGAGCGAGAGGACTCACTCTGCTAAGACTTCTCGGGGCAGAAGACCTCGACAAACATCTCTCCACGGCAGATTTTACTTATCTCACTAAAACTACAATAAAATATATTTTTTAAAAATTCACAGGACTTGCACAGACACACACACCTTTAACCTTTAACTGCAGTTTTGTACATGTGGGGTTGTACAAATGAAGTTTCAAATCAATTCTGGACTATTTTCAGTACTACATCTATTACAGTATGAGAATTTCAATTTCTGGACCAGTAGCGAGCAAAAGAGCCCGAACTATTAGTGTTGTGGTTTATTACTGTAAGAGTTACCACAGTAACATTTTCATCCTATCTCAGTAATGTTTCTGTCCACATGGCAAACTCTGCAGACGTATGTGCAGTAGAAGAACCAAAATAACTGGCTTAAAGACAATGCAAGCTTCACAGAGCTGCAAAGTTGGGATTATTATATTGGCAAGCGAATATTTGAATAGGGTTTAATACTTGAATCAGAATATTATGATGTAACATTTATTAGATTTGCCCTTCTACATGTCTTACACATGGAGTTAGCTTACAGTTGTTCCTGGCTGGAAGTACATATAACTTTAGGCAACTGAAATTTAAACACACGCACACACACACACACACGCGCACACACACTCACAGTTTGATTTTATAAAACTGCACAAATCATTTTGTTTTTCAAGCCTTACATTTCTTCAGGGATTTGATGTAATTCAGTGACTCGTTGGATGTTAGAGATGATGTGAATGTATTCAAGGGGCAACAATACATAACAAATAATATAACACAAGTTTGCAATCACATTTGCTGTATGTATATTTTTATTTTTAATCTGTTTTTGCATGATTGTATAAAATTCTCTCCACATTAAGGTGATGAATAAACATGAAGCACATTCATTGCATGACTGGACTCGTCACTTGTAATAGACTTTAATGGAGTCAATGATACTAAAGTTCTTCAAGACAAGAATTTATTTTCTTTTTCAAGTTCATTCAAGTTAAGGGTTTAGGCTTTCAAACCTAACTTAACTGTACCATTCGGTGCTATGTGCACCCACATAGATTTGCATTCAAACAAATAGACTTTCTAAACTTTCTGAACATGATGTACCAGTGCGTTATTTCTACTTTAGAAATTTATAGAGTCAACCTCTGTAAAAACCTTTTCAGGAAGAGACTTGTCAGGAAGAGGCCAGACTCTATAGATGCCCTTCTGCATCCAGCAGTATGCGCGGGTCCACTGGGACACCCGAACCGCAGGTTTTTGGTATTTCCACATTGGCTTCATTCATGCTAGAGCTACAGCTCCAAGGTAATGTATATTTGCATCGATGAAATCAAGAAGAACCAGAATTTCGAGTGTTTGTCATCTAAACCTGCAGATATTTCTCAAAACTGTCAGAAAAATGTAGTTTATTTACATTTCTGAAGAATAAACTGGAAATAATCAACCCACTATTTTGTCTGAAATATTTGGGTATGACGTGGCTCGTCTTTAGCCTGTGGCAATAACGGGGTATACTGTGATCAATGCTGTCTTGTAAACTTAGTGTTGACATCAGAGTTTTTTATCAGTTTTTATCATTTATGAAGATGCTGCAAGCGTATTTATCTTTTTGCAATGTAACTACATCACTACAATAAATTAAAGAACCAACACTCGCTGACCTCTTTAAGTTAAAATACACAGAAAATAAATAAAGGCAAAAAATACATCTGCTTTTACATTTAAACAAGAAGTTACGATTTTTAATTTTTTGGTCTTTAGCTTGGCTTTGACATGTTACATATATTGACCTTGACCTTGAAATAATTTCGGATGATTTCTACTCACTTTGGAATTATTGTGACTTTTTTTCTTCTTGCTATTATGAGATCTACCTTCATATATTGTATTAAATATTTAAATAAACAACTGGCAACATTTATAAAACATTAATTACTTTGGTGATCACTTTACCTTCCACTCAGAACCATCTAAAAATCCAAGTTTTAACTCGCTGAATAGAATCAAATATCTGCAGAACCAATACCTGTTAATGGTTCATTTGGGTCCCTCAGACACAGATACAGTAGATCGAGGAAAGAAAGAAAAAAGAAGGATCAACAATTACATTCACAGAGAGATTTGGATGTTCAGACAGATGCTTTCAAATGCTGGACAGAAGATTATGTCAGTAATCTCTGCAATCAGGGGAATGAGAACGAGAGAGAGAGAGAGAGAGAGAGAGAGAGAGAGAGAGAGCTTGACATCATGCGGGGACAGAAACAGATAAAAGTCAACTGTAAGGTCTCTGAGCAGTATGTGGAGAGTAATTAAAATGTATATAAACAGTTGAATTATGCAACAGTTCCACAACCAACAACATATACAAATTAGAGGCTTTTTAAAATTTGTATAAATTTGCATAAACAGACCTGTGTCACGTTTCATTTTGAACATTTTGGGAACACCTGAAGGTTCCCAGACACCAAACATGTTTTTGAAGGAAGCATCTGAAGTAAATTTATTCTTCTGTGACTTGAAGTGAATAAAAAAAGTAAGGCAGATGTCTCTAAGAAACTAGAACAAGAAAGTAGGTCTTTTTTCTTATGAAACAACATTAATCTTTTATGCAGACACTTCTGTGTCTTGTGTAATTTAAGAAAGTGTCCACTGTTAAACAGGGCATCTGGAGATGCATGCATGAAGGATTTGGCTCTTATTTGTAGATAAAATATGATCATGGTGATTTTCCGATCAGTTTGGTTTGGTGACAAATTTCTGCTACTGCAGCAACATAAAAGCGGAGACTTTGATGCCGAGGTATTTAAAAATCCACACAGTAATACTTGTTTCTTTGGATTATCTACAGACCATAGTGAGAACACCAAGGATTCGTTAAATCTGAATTATTCACAGCGGGATACAAGGATTGTACTATAAATAGTTTTGTTTTTTTTCGTTTGCTTTTTAGGGTTTTTTATTTTTCAAATGTAGTTCTTTTTTTGATAGCACAGTTACAGATAATGCATTATTAAGTTTTAAGTCATCAAATAATATATATGGGAGAAGATAAATGGGAAAGGATGTAATAATAAAGAGACACAGTCATTAACAAGAAATTTAGTTGTCACTTACTTCAGCACATTTGCTGTTTGTGACACAAAAACTGTGCAGCTGTGTAAATAGCAGTGGAATACTTCAGCAACTACAGATTGACATTTTTTCTTCACTTCTTCATTTCGAGCACGCTCTAATAAAGAAAAAATGGCAATATTGTCATGGTTGCTTTATTAACTTTGTCTTGACATTTTGTGCAAGTACTGCATACTTAGCTGTGGATCATCAACAGTGGAGTTACATCACTATGACTTGAACTATACCGGAAAGCCAAATCCTTTTCAGAGAGTAAATTTGTTATGATGTGGCAAAAAGGAACAAAATGCAGACTTGAACAAAAAAATATAAACTTCAATTAGGTGGCATGCATCAGTCAATCAAAATCTGCATGTTTGTGTACTAAATTTTTTATTTTTTTTTTAAATGTTACAGAAGCCATTTTCCAGTTAACAATGTTTTTGTTATTTTGTTAATTTCTTAATTTTAAGAGGAAATAACAGTTTTTAAATTAGATTTACATCGACATAAAGACTTTTGATAATAACATTTTATTACAATTCCAACATGTTTTATTCAGTGTATTGTACAGGATCAAGACTTGATTTCACATGTTGTCTCACAATAACAAGTCTATTCTCCATATTCAACACTTAACTAGGACATTGAACATTTAAGACTGTGACATATGGATACAATAAAGAATGTAAAAGACATGAAATTAGACCAGGATAATGGAAACCTCCTGCATTTACTGTAGTTACACCGTGGGCTATATGTTGGTTTGGGTTAGAAAAGGAGGTAGAACATAACTTGTGATAGTAATAATTTTGGCTACTCTGAATGACACTTTGTAGCTTTCATCTTCTTAAGAAATTCAAATTAAATACTTACTTTCTAAATGTGGAAGAAGTGATCAGAAGATGGACATTTTATTTACATGCTGTAAAACTTTGTTCACAGGTTTAAGAGGGGATGTTGTCTGTATGGTAGACACATACCGGTGATACTTTGAAATTTGAAATGCTTACAGTTTGTCCCATTTTTTTCCTCAACATTTATGTGCTGTAAATAACTTAGACAGCACATATGGGTATACAATAAATGTTATAAAACCATTGAAGAGGTTCTGTGTCATTGTTTAAATTAGACCATCTGGTCATTATCATCACACCTACAATGTGTTCATGTTTTGTGAAATTGCTGTCAGGTGAAGTGGACAAAAAAAGACAGTGACAGAACTAGAGAAATATACAGTGAAAATGTCTGAACAGCTACTTTAAAGGTGAGTATTGAATCAAGCGAAGAGCATCGTCATTGTCCAAAATTCCCTGGATGAACTCTCCTTCTGCAATTCGGTCTGCAAAGAGAAAAAAAAAGTTTCTTATAGTTTATTAGTTTTGTTTATTTGGAGTAATATCAAAAACTGAAAGGAAGTCTTCAAAGATGGACATTAAACATAGATACACTTAAAAGGCATTGCAAATACAAACTGTGTAATTGAGGAATGTCATTTACTTTGATAGTATTACAATCCAGTAGCCTAACCTATGACTACCAGATTTGTCACATTCCTCAGGGATTTACTTCTAAACCAGTGTTTTCACTATTGCAAGTGTGATCTACTTATCTGTCCATATTCAATGTCCATATACGTCTTCACTATTTCTTACCGTTGTCACCCTTGTCAAAATAATTCCAGAGTTTATCTGCCCTCTTCTGAGCTGTGTTTTCATCTTCAGGCAACTTTTCAATCTCTTCTTTGGGAATCAGCTTAAAAATTGCCTGTCAAGGGAAAAATAACAAAATTTGGTGAAAAGTGAGAAAAGATTTCACTTGTGTGAGCTACAGCTGTATACAGTAAAATCTATTTTTGTGGCTGCAGAGGGAAATGGAGCCATTGCCCCCAAATCCTCCTTTAATCTGAACCGCTTTGTCACATCTATGAGCTGATGAGCTGCCTCGCAAACAAAAACAGCAACAAACTGCTGTGATTCTACAGATTAACCAACCAGCTCTTTTGGTCTCTCTGGCTTTATTTAGTGAATATATGAATACTAATCTTTAAGAATGAAATGTGGCTGTTCTAATAAGGTTTCCAAGCAATATAAAGATACATTAACACTACACAGCACAGTAATACTCTTCAGCTGCCTGTCTTAAGAATATATGAAAAAAATTTATTTTTCCAAATGTAAACCGAATAATTTTGTTACATATCAGGGAGGATGCACTACTGTGGGCACAAAAAACTAAAGTGAGAAGGCACTGGCTTTATATAATTCTAAGTGCCTTTTTATATTTGTCTGCATACTGTCAACAAATAATGATGGTGCTTATTGATGAAGGTTTGCAGTTTTCTCTCTAAAAATTAATTCGAGTGGCCGGTAGATAAAACTGATTAATTTTCAATTCCATTCAAATTATTTCGGTTAAATTTTACTTTGTATTATTATATTATTTGTACATTTATAGCTCCAGATCATATCAAATATTGCCTCAATGTGCTTTATTTTTGCAAGGTTTTATGACATCAAACAAGCTCAAACACTGTCTTAAATAATCCTGTGTGCCCATCACACATTTGTTTCCGTTATACTTCATTTGCTATTCAAAGTTTAATAGCTAACATACTGTCATGCTTCTTTGAAATGTATTAAAATTAGAACATTTCACTTACTAAGAGTAAAAAAACGAATATGTGGAAAACCGAGGCTACGTTGTGACATATTAGAATAGAATAATCCTTTAATTGTCCCACAAAGTTAAATTTGGGTGTAACAG